GGGCGCCTGCCCGCTGCTGGGGTGTTCAAGGGTCTCCCTGTGCACGGGCAGGGGAAGGGAAAGGCTCTGGAGCTGCCTCCGGTACCTGCAGCCCGGCTCTAACAGCTCCCGGGGCTGGGAGCACAGGCGGACCGGGGGTCAGAGCAGGCAGGAGAACATAGAAGGAGACCAGGGAGTAGGTCAAGCTGTTGGCAGAGCTGACAACACCAAACCTTCAGAAATTACAACAGAGGTTGATAGTAAGTTCAGTTCTGCTTCTTTGCTGCCCTCAGATCCTCTTTTCAGCCTTCTTTCCCAGACAGAAGAACACGTCCTTTGCAAAAAAAAAACCAAACCAGCTGAGGCTGGTACAGCACAGCAGCAGTCTCACAGCACGCGCTTCAAGAGGAAAGAAGACAAAACCAAACAGCAAATGCTGCAGTTTCCCCTTCAGGGAATGCGAGGCTGGACAGCAAAGCCAGGCTGCCCTCAGATCCTCTTTTCAGCCTCCTTTCCCAGACAGAAGAACACGTCCTTTGCAAAAAAAAAACCAAACCAGCTGAGGCTGGTACAGCACAGCAGCAGTCTCACAGCACGCGCTTCAAGAGGAAAGAAGACAAAACCAAACAGCAAATGCTGCAGTTTCCCCTTCAGGGAATGCGAGGCTGGACAGCAAAGCCAGGCTCTGGGGAGCTGGGGTCCACCCTGGAGATGAACCCCACGACAGAGTTCACCTCTTGGTTTCCCCTGTGGCCCCCGACGGTGCCCACTCTTGTGCAGGAGCTGGGACCAGCACAGAAAGCCACTGCCCTGGTACACCATCTGCCCCAGGAGGGATGTGCCACGCTGCTGCTGCTCAGCCCCTGCCTGCCTGGGGCACGGCCGCAGGGCTCCATGCTCAGGCTGTGGTGCTGCCAGCACAGAGGCTGTACACGCTGTGCCCTGGCTGTGTGTGCAAGTGGTACGTGAGCCTGCTTGTCTCATGGCAAAGCACTGTGCTGCCCCACACACCCCGCCTCCAGTGCTGCTTTCTTCCACGAGTCTCGGCCTGGGACCAGGGCTGTCTGTTGGCTCGTGACGAGTTTCCACATAGAACATGGTGTGCTGAGGTGTCAGATGAGCAGGACAGTGGGAAGCAGCGTGCAGCGCTAGATATAGAAAAGGAGCCCTGCACAGATTGGTTATAAAACTCTCTGTCTTGATTTTACTGCCTTTGGTACAAAGTTTGGTAAATATTTCTGGGCCAGGCAGCTCCTTGTCTGGCTTTAATTACCTGGGCAAATTTTCCTAAGGATTATATTGACCTCAAATATGTCAACATTTATTGAGGCCGTGTTCCTGAGGCTTTTCCCATTAGATGCTAATGGATTCTGGCTAATAGTCAAGCCAGACTGACCACCAGCGGGTGCCCTGGCCAGCTCCGGGATACCACAGGTACCTGAGGAGGGTTACACCAGCTTGGTGGAGCCAAATATAAAAATCACCATGGCCCCAGTCCAAAGAGATCAGGGAACATGCTTGAGCAATTGCATTCCTACCTATCTGCTTCTCTGGGCATGACTCACCCCAAGTCACGGCTGTATTTACATGTGAGACTTTGAGCAAAGCTGCCTTTCACTTAGGACTTTTTCCCTGCCTGCAGGAAAGAGAAGTCTAGCACTCCTCTGCAGGGCTCCCATTTGATTCTGTCCCTTGGGCCCCTGCTGGGGCCGTGCTCAGCCCAGCAGTCACTTGCCACCATTGCACTGGAAAGCCATGTCATGCTGGTTGTTTTGAAATCGCTTCTCTCCAGCCCAGTGGCTGGCAGCCAAGAGTGCGTCTAGGTGCCTTGGGTGCCTCTGGCTGCCTGTGTGTGCCTCATGCGAAGTTGTGGGTCAGAGCAGTGCTTAGATCCCTTGCTGGTCATGCCAGCCAAGGCTGGGCATAAGTGTGTGCCCCCCACTGCCTGCTGGCCAGCTGCCAGACCCGCACACGCATTGATGCCCCTCTGATTGCTCAGCTCTGCGTGGCTGGGCAGTAGTTTCAGATGCGGGTGCACCTTATGCATCCCTGGCTCTCCACACCCAGCCTGCCACCCTTCCAGCTCCTCCGGTGGGACCATGTGTCCCTGCCAGGCGTCCCCAGGTTGCTCTGGCAGCAGATGGCCCTGCAGCCTGCTCACACAGCAGCTCCCTGCTCCTGCTGCCTGCATGGCTCCTGCTGCCCACCTGGCTCCTGCTGCCCTGCCCACACAACGAGGTGCATGTCCTGCTGCAGAACTGCAGAGCACCCAGGAGTCACCTGCTCACTCCCAGGTGTTTGGGGTTAATCGCATCCTGAGCAGAAACAAGTTTAAAATCCTCTCCCTTCATTCCTCTCCTATTTTATAAAGAAGATCCAAATGCAGATGCAGTCCCCAGGGCAAAACTTGCAGTGCTGAGCAGGAGGGTGTGCCGGAGGGGAGAGCCAGGGCAGGAAGGGAGGAAGATGCTGGGATCGTTTCAGGCTGTTACCTGTGAGAGTTGCCCTCCCCGCCATCTCCCCATTTCCCTGCAGCTCAGCTGGACTGTGTTGGGGCTGCTCTGGGACGGCTGCTGTGGGATGTGAGTGGGATGAGGTCTAGCCTACCTGATCAGAGCCATATCCCTCAATCCTGCAGCCAAACGTGACCAGTTCAGTGCTGGAGAATGGGGCCAGCTTTGGACCACCCCGGTGCTGTGCTGGGCACAAGGCGTGTTTGGCCCACACCTCTGTCATGGGAATGAGATGCTTGGCTGCTGCAAGGCAGAGGCAGGTTTCGGGCCACATAACAACCTGACTTCATTGCAGACAGTTGCTAGAACAGCAGGGATTAGCTTGAAGGCAACTGCTGCATCTTGAGGGACTGAGGTCTGTGCTAGAAGGAGAGACCTCTTCCTCCATGTCCTGGGGGGTGTGTACTGCCTCCCCTTTCTGCCCCCACTGTGTGATCACCAGTTGCTGAGAGGGAGCACTGGTATCACTTTGCAAGAGGATGCCTCCAAAGAGCAAAGGGAAAGGGAGAAAAGGAGTGAAGCAGCAGCAGAAGAAGAGAGACATAGCAGGTGAGTCTGGGGTCTTGCCTCCTTCCAGCCAGCAGGAAGGAGCCTCGCCTGCCCCCCCCCTGCTGCTTCCCAGCCCCAGCCAGAGCAAGCATCGTGGGGGCTACTGGAAGCGGGAGCTGGGAACACAGGGGTGAGGGATTGCACTGGGGCCCCATGGGACAGCCTGGCTGCAGGTCTCACATCTCCACCAGCCCTGCTCACCCTGTGCCAGGGCAGCAGCACAGTTACACCTGATGAGACACAGGAGTCGGGGGATCCAGCGTCCTGCCTGAAGCACCTTGCACCCCCTGCACCCCCCAGCCCAGCAGGATCCAGGGGGGAGGTCAAAAAGAGGCAGCTCTGCCTGGCCCCAGCCTCTCCTACATGCTTGTGAAAGTGTAAGCATTCACTAGGCTGGAAGAGCATCTGGAGTGGGGTTTTGGAAGGAGTCCCCCAAGCCTATCTGCACCATGGCTGCTGCCCCATCTTCACTGCAAAATCCCAGCCCTCAGTCCCAAATGAGCATGCATCTCTCCAGGGCAGCTGCTTCAAGTTAAACCGGCTACACCTTGACTCTGTGTCTGACAGGTGTCTGCAAAAATACTGCCCTGGTACCGGTGTTTGAGCTGGAGCTGTGTCCCAGCCAAGTTTTCCCGGGGCAAACATTCCAAGGCGGGCTTCCCTTGGGCCATTTGACAGCCCTTGCTGTCCCTGGGCCAAGCCCCTTTCAAGAGCTGCTCTTGACTCTGTCCCTTCCTTCTTCCCTCTGGCTGCAGAAAGCCAAGCTGAAGAGAAGTACAGGAAACCTGCAGTGGAGGCTGACATGCCAAAAGAGCACCTAGGTAAGGTCAGGAGGAGCCAGGGGCTGGGGCAAGTAAGAGATGCCTGCTGCCCTGCACGCACTTCCTAGGGACTGGCCTTTCCTGTCAGCAAGTCATGCGGGAGGATGGCACACAGCCTCCCTTGCGTGTGGGCTCCCGCCTCAGGGCTGCCTGTGCTGTCCCGAGAGTCCCTGGTGTGCAGCGCAGCAGCTGCTTACAGAGGCCAGCAATGCGGCAGAGAAAGAGAGGAGCAATGATGAAAACAGATGGGAGGTGGTAGGGTTGCTGCGGTGAGGCACCCCCCTGGAAAAGCTTCCCTAGCATGGTGCTGGGCTGAAACAAGGGGAAGGCTTCTTGCTATGAAATTGATTCTGGTTCAGGCAGGGCATGGGGCCAGGCATGGGCTGAGGAGGTGTCCACATCCCCCTGGCTTTGGGAGCAGAGAAAGGCTAGGAATAGGTCACTGCTGGGCCAAGGTACCAAGCTGTCCTGTGTGTCTCTGGCTTGCAGTTCCCTGGGGGACATGACCTGGCAGGCAAAAGCTGACAAGGGCTCAAGCAGAGGCTGTGGGACCTGGAGAAGGCGCTGGAGCAGGCACGGGAAGACAAGTGAGACATTAATGAAAGTGAAGGCAGAGGTGGAAGGGGGCAGTGGGACAGATGCAGGACCCCACACTTTGGTGCTGCTGGGGGAGGCCAGCCAAGCTTGCCCCACCTCTCCTTTCAGCCCTGGCTGCTCAGCCCCAAACCACCCTGCTGCTGACTAGCGCTGCTCCCTCCCATACTGTCAGCATGCAGCCGCTCTGGACGTGGGCTCGTTTCACTCCAGATGCCTGTACTCAGCACAGGGAGAGGAGACCGCAGAGGCAGACTTCCCTGCCTGCAAAAGTCATTGCCCCGCTGTTTCCGTTAGTGCTCAAGAAGGGGATGATTTTAGCAGAGGTAAAACCTCAGCCAGAGGTTTGCGGTCTTTGCCACATGCAAAACTCCGTACTCATTTTCACTCTCCCACGCTCAACAGAGAGGTAAAACTTTCCCTCCAGGGTTCCCTCCTGCCCTCCCCTGTCCCCATCCCCCTCCACCCTGCGCCCACATTGTCACAGCCCTGCCAGGCAGAGAGAGGGTGCATGCATGGCTGCTTCTGGTGCGTCACCCTGCAAGGGGAGCCCTCAGATCAGGCCCTGCTGGAGCTCCTGCTTTGTCACAGGTGCTGGGATCTAAGCACAGGACTGCCTGCTTCTCCCTCTGTGTTTGTCCCCTTCTCCCTTCCCTGGCTCACAGAAATGACCCGGCAATACCAGGAGCTGCAGAAGCAGGCAGCAGCCCACAGCCAGGGCTTGGAGGCGAAGGTGAAGAGCCTGCAGGAGCAGCTTGGTATGGCACCCAGCATGCCTGCCCCTTGGTCACACAGTGCCAGGCTCCTGTGCCTACATGCTCAGTGGCCCCTGCCTCTGTCCCTGCACCCCACAGCCACCAGCCTCCAGGAGAGCCGGCAGACCCAGGACACTGCCACCCAGGCTCTAGCAGAGAGGGACAGGACCATCGCCCAGCTGCAGGGAAGGCTCAGTGCCATGGAGAGGGAGTATGAGAAGATCCTCCACGTGAGTGGGGACATGGCTGTGGGTCGCTCACCCTGGCAGTGTGGTCCTCCCTCCTCACCATCCTCTGTCCCACCAGAGTAGCCTGGACCTTCTGCTGGCCAAGATGGCAGAGGCCAGCCAGCACTGGGAAGATGTAGGAACAACCATCGCCATTGAACACAAGGAGCGCCTACAGGAGTTTGGCCTCAGCCCCCTGGAGATGTAGCACCCTGGGGCTCCTGGGGTGGGACAGGCTCTCAGCCTGGCTCAGCTCTCAGACAGGCTCTCTCCCCATGTCCCTATCGGCACACCTGCATAGCTTCCCCATCCGCTGCCCAGCACCCCGGCTACCTCATGCTAGGTAGGAGAAGACGGGTCCTGTCTGGCCCTGGGATGCGCTGCTGAGTCACAGCCCTCTCCGTAACATTACTCACATGAGCAGCAGTGTGGATTTGTCCTTTAATCACACCCCAAACGGGCGACGCAGGAACAGGGCTGTGATGGGTGGCGGACACTCACTGCCCACTGGTTCACAGGGAGGATGAGAGGAGGAGCACAGGAGAGATGTCCATGGAGGGACAGACCTAAGCCAACAGGCTGAGACGTGGGGGTTTCCTCCAGCACGCCGTTGGCCTCTGCTGCTCCCCTTTCCCCCTGTCACAGAGGCCAGCCTGGGACCGAGCCAAGCCTCAGACTCCCAGTCCCCTGGGTCCTGGCATGGAGGGCAGTGCCTCAGCTCTCCTGGGAGCTCCCAGAGCCTGGAGCTGGGCAAGGGCTTCAGTGCAATGTCCCTAGATACCCCTGTGGCCAGCTGGGCAGGCAAAGACACACATCTGTCTTCAGGTTACAAGAAGCCACCTCCATGGTCAATAAAAGCTTGGAGTCAGCCTCGGTCAGTGGAGAGTCTCTGAGAGGTGGGAAGCTGCGAGCCCCATCGCGGGCATGGAGACACAGCGGCTGTGTGTGCAACGGCCATGCTGAGCAGTGCTGTGCTCTCCGGGGAGCCGGGCGGTGGGCACTGATGGGCTGGACGTGGCCTGGCTCGAGGCATCGTGT